TTGGCCGTTTAAATAAGGGATTCCACATGAGAACCAGGCTTTCCTACATCCTAGGGAATAGTTCCTAGCGAGCAGTCTTTATTGAAATAAATCACTGTATCACTCCTCGACTGAGAATTTCAGGGATTGTGGCAGATGAGGAAGACAGTCTTGGGAAGTAAGTTTTGATAAGAAATGAATAAATTTGGTTATTTTCATGCTGTGGACCAATAACAGCCAGCCTCCACTGGGCCCCTGGCCTGAAGGCAGCTGGGTAATCAATAGATCCCACAAAGGCAGCTTTCCGCCCCCAGCAAGCCTCTCTGATCTTTGCTTCGTGGACTCTTCACGCCTGTGTAATTCTAATTTATGTCAACCAGAAATCAAAGAAATTCCAGGAGGCTTTGGTCATAGGACATTGGCGTGGACCTTTCACAATCTGTTTATGTCTAGTCCTTGAGTAACAGGGCCCGCAGAGCCTTCCAGACCCCTCTACTGGTCAAGGAGAAGGCAGCAGCAGAAGGCAGCCAAGCTACCTGCTTAATGGTGGTGGGTGGGGGGCAAGGCGGAGCGGCCTAAGGTACAAAGCGGGGCACATTTTCTCCTAGCTTCTAACTCTGCAGGAACAGAAGAACTAAGCATTTTAAGTGGAAGCTTTGCCAAGAGTGGCTCCCTCAATAACGCTCTTTAATGATACCCCAGACGCTGGCATTTTCAAATCAAATGAACAGTGTGTAAAATTAGTTCTGCATGAAGTTAAAAAAAAATGGAAAGTGAAAGGGAGCTTTTAAAAGCTCCAGCATTTCTCCATCCAACTGCTTTTCACAAGGGTTTGGCATTTGAGAATTGCTACGTTTACGATGTTATTCACTGCTCATAATTCAGGCCTGTGTCTCCAAACTTTGGTATTAACACACACTGCAGAGGTTTTCCAAGCCAGCCAAGTGCCTCTGGCGAGGTCTCCTTTTCCAGCCAATGCCATTCCACTGTGCCCCTTCTCTTCTCATCAACCTTGTTACCCCAAACCTTTTTCATTAACCTTGAACATTGCCTTCCATTTGCCCTCCAGCTTTCCCAAGCACTTTTCCTTTGCAGTTGTTCTCTAGCCAAACTGCCTTGTCAGAAATGAGGAAAGTAGCATTAGAAACAGATCTATAGAGTCTAGATTCACTCAAGGGCTGAAAACAGTTTCTATGAACAAAGTCACCACTGACTGTTAATAGCTGTGGAAGCTAGAGTAACCACATTGCTTTTTATTACAGTCCCATTGATTACCAAGTATTTTTAACTAAGTCACTAAACAAATGTGAGTCAAACTGATAGGCGATTTCAGGTCAACTCTAATTCCCAAGGTCAAGTAAGTCTTTGAACAGTGTCTAAGAGTGTAAGCCTCCACCCCCCCCAGTTCATCAAAGCAGTCTCACACAGCGCTTTACTCTCTTGGTTTTTACAATGCATTAAAGTTTAGGAGATTATGTGGCGTCAGCTTCAAAACCTTTTAACATGCTTATCCATCCAGCCATCGGAAAAGCTACTCGGAGACTTCTTAATGCGCTTCCTAACTTTACAGCTGCATGGGGAAGGCTCCAGTTGTTGGAGAGCTGGAGAACTCCTCCCCAGGACTCAGCAATGTTGCAGCCAAACAAATTTCCTGCAAATTTACTTAGACATTGATAATCCGAGTACATGCTTTTTCAGCTGCAAAGAATATGTTTAATGCTTTGCATCTGCGGGCAGGGAGAGCAGACAGACACAGAGAGAGATTGAGATTTTCCTACAACAAATAAAAGGCATTTTGTTGTTATTCTTGTAACATCATAGAAGCAGAAGTGGGTAAAATATAGCCTCCAAATTAAATGTAAGTAGCCCCAAGTGAAACTTACATGTGAAAGAAAATGCAACTACACTCTACCACGCCTTTCTTTTCTTGAGAGAGAGTCTCGTTATGTAGCCCTGAGTGACCTGGAACCACAGTCTATACCTCTGTCTCTGCAACCCCCACAATTCTGGGGATAATGGGGTTCATCCTCAAGCACAGCTGACTTTGTGATTGTTTTTTTGAGACAGGGTTTTTTTGAGACACGGTTTCTCCATGTAGCAGCTCTGGCTGTCCTGGAACTTACTCTGTAGGCCAGGCTGTCCTCAAACTCACAGAGATCTGCCTGCCTCTGCCTCCCAAGTGCTGGGGTTAAAGGCGTGCGCCACCACCTGGGTTTTATGATTTCTAAGGACCACAGGCCTCCAGGATATGACTGGGGAGATAGGCACACTCACAGACATGCTTCTCCTCACACAGGGATCCTGCTGGCCACATTCTTGGCCAGGTGGCTAACTGTGCAGGTGGTGAAGTCTCTTGGCACTTGGCTGGCTTCAGATGATGTGCTGAAGGAGGAGGAGATCCGGAGCTAATGAACTTCGATAGTGGTCAGCAGGTCTGGTCGAGCTATGGTGATAAGTATCCACTTGGGTTGTTTGATGCTTTGTTGGCATGACCGATGTTTGGGATGCACAGATCTTCTCCATGCCTTGGTCCTGGCTTTCCTGTTCCTTATTTCCACCTCTGTTTGCCTTTATTTCTTCTTGCTAGTTTCTCTGCCCATGCCAGCAGCCTTATAGTCATACTTTTTTTTCATCTCTGTGCTGGAGCAGAGGGTTAGGAACTATTTATTATTCAAATGCATAGTGTTCCAGGGAAACTTGGTTTTCATCAATGAAACGTGTGGAAAGTAGAATTACTGATATCTTTCTATAGAACATAAAACATTTAGGTTCTGATGAGGAAAAACTACAAAGGTATCTTCTATAGTCTAAATCTATTTTATTTCCTCTTTAAGTTCACTTCCAAAATGTGGTTTCTGTTTGTTTGTGTGTGTATATTATATTTTGAAATTCACATACTGCAGTATAGCACATGTTACTATAACACTGAAAAGAATTGTAATTCATGGTATTTTATATGTGACTGATATCATCCTAAGCACCTTATATACATTAATTTATTTAAATGCTCACAATTCTTCAGGATGGGTACTAGGATAACGTTAATTTCACAAATGCTGCAAGAAGCTTTACTTGGGGTTACTCCACTATCAGGTATAAAAGCCCAGATTTGAACCCAAACTCTGGCCCAGAGGACACACCCCCTCATTATGAGCTTCTTCTCTTCTCTAGGCAAATCTTTCTTCAGGTCTCCAAGAGAATTTAAAGATGGATGACATAAAACAAGACTTGAAATCTGAAGCGCTACTTTAGTTTGGGTTTTCCATGCAGCTTTCTGTTGAAGGCTTTGCTTGCACTTTGTGTGTGGCTTGGAAATGTCTTCTGTTCTCATCGAGCCCTTCATGTTTGGCTCAGAGCTGAGCTGAGTCTCAGGAAGCCAGACAGCAAGGCTAAGCTCCTTGGGCTGGGCTGAACTGGGGCAGCCTGTGGACAGACGGCACTGTGTCGGAGGCAACAGACTCCTGGAGCAGTCCTCTGGTTTGAAAACGGGTTCAAAGCCGGACACAGAATAGGGGCACCACTAATTGGAACCACCTATCTCTTTTTGCACTAATTTGTGCTTTTTTTTTTAAACTTCCAGAATCCTTAACTTAAAATCAGCAAAACGCTGCTCAGCAATTAGGTGTGGCATCGTTTTCTAAACGGTTATAGTCTGTGTCTGAAGGGGAAGCTGACCTCCCATGCAAAAAGTATAAAGAAGGCAGGCTGTAAGAGAGCCTCTAAACTCATTCACTTCAGAGTCCATGCACTTGTGGGCATGGCTTCCTGGGGATGCGGAGGCACTTGCCTGTCACTATGTTGTGCTTCGAGTCCTCTGCCTACCGGGGACCCTTTAACTGTCAAGTGACGAGGTTAGCAGTAGTGTTCTCTTAGCCAGCAATGAGTGTTGAGGGACACTTGCTCCTGTGGGTCTCAGTGCTGTTGCTAAGATACAAAGCAGGTAGCTTTCTGTGCTGGGCTAAGATACAATGCCATTTCTAGAACGTAACTGGCAAAGGTCTAGAACAGTTGAGATTTTACAGCCTTGGAAACAACAATTAGATCTATTGTGAACAATGACAAAGAACACAAGGTACTTGGGCCATTATTATTTTTGTCCCAGACTTGTCTGGTATCAAGTCTTGTGACAGATTTGTCCCTAAGAATCACTGTAGGAGCGGCACAGACATGTAAAATGGAGTAGGATGCCAGCGCTTTGTTAGTGAGCGTCTTGAGGTACGCCTTTTCAAAACGAGCAGTCTTCTGGCAGAAGGCTGCCTCTGGCATGTTCAAGAAACACTGAGACCAGACCTCAAAAACGGGGCGAGTGGCCTTCTGCATGTGGCTGGGGTGTCGCAGCCTCCAGCCTTTCACTGTGGCAGTGCAATAAAGAACCAATTCTTGGATTTGTTATAGGGAATCATGGCAGTTGCAAAGGAGAACACATTTACTCTGGGCTCAGTGGTCTGTACAGATGTTCTGCATTTCCTTCCCAGCCTTCAAATGTTAAGTGTGGTTCCATTGCTAAACTCATGCTCCATCCCGGACAACAGACGGCTCTGTGGAACTCTGGCTGGCCCTCTGGGGATATGTCACAGCATGCGATAGGAGAGACAATCTGGTATGCAGGGAGACACAAATTGGTTCCTTCTTGCCTCCAATGGCCAGAACACATACGTGTGCAGAAAAGGAATGAACACTTACGAAATGCCAATTTGACACTTTACTGTTACAGGAAATTTAAACTCTGGAATTTTATTTGTTAAGCCGTATGAATCGTAGTTTGCATGCAGCCTTTTAAATTCTGCTCTATGGATTTAGGAATAGGAAGCTAAATTCTATGATGACACTCTGTGATTGCCTTCCCCCCTTTTAAGTACAAAAATCCATTATTAATCAGAAATACAAAAATAATTCCAGATTACTTTAGCAAACCAGGGCAAAAATGCATGGCTAGCAGTGTGCATGAGCATGCAGGAGGAGAAGGTGGCACTAAGCTGGTCGCTATGGCAACTACATGCAGAAAACAAACAAGTCCTTACTTTATCACACCTCATCAGCCCCAAGTATCTCAGGGATTTGCTGCTCTGTGCAATCAGGGTGGCTCCTTGATCTGTGATTTCTTTACACCATCCAACATCCACCGTCTCTATGGTCACGCTGTATCGCCCAATGGCAATCAGTGCTGCCGGGAGGAACAGAGAGAAAGTGTTGGTATTAGCAGTGTAAGGGACCTACCTCAGCCCATGATGACTACGGGCTCATTTCCTCACTAAACCTGGTCCTGAAATGCTGTGTGCAAATGAGTGTTTTATAAACTAAATTAAATTTGAAATGCTTTAAAGAAAGTTTGCCCTATGACAAACCCTTGTGTGCAGTGAATAATCATTCTGTAATTTCCCTTTCATTGAACACAATCTTTTTTCGGTTTACTCACTTCAAGGTTACCTATACTTCCAAGCATTCATATTTGCAGGAGGAATAAATACAAGTAAATTATAGATGCAGCATTATAAAAGCCCAAGTGCTATCTAAATTTTATTCAAGGTAACTCTAATACTTTTAAAAAAGAAGAATAAAAAACCACCACATGAACACCATTTTGAGGTGTGTTATATTACATGCAAATTTCTTTATGAATCGGTATAATTTTTTCCATCTGTTTATGACCTGTAAAATGTAAGAGCATATAATACTTTTCACATTAGTTCTTCTTGGGGCTGTTGGGAATTAAGAGTACATTATACATATAGTTGAATTTAATTGGTGCCAGGCTAGAGTGCAGTAAAGGGAATGTATTCGTTATGGTAAATTTCCTTTCCATATCAGAAATCTTTCTATTTAATATATAAAAAGAGCCTGCCATCTGAAAACCACGACATTATCTCTAATATTCTTGACTCTTTATCACGGCACTGCTACTAAAACGCAGATGCCCAAGCTATAGTCTGGGATGGACTTTAGTTACCCCTGCAAAGCTCCACAACCCTTACCCTGCTGGAGCCACCAATCAGCAAACAGGGCTCTGCTTCAGGGACTTGGGTGTGGTTTGATAGGTGAGCTTGCCTCCAACATTTATGAAGCATAAGAAACAGATCTTAATACCTGCTGCCAGAATGATGTTACGACGCATTGATCTGTGAATGAATATCTTGACAACAATGCCACAGACATTAAAAGGGAAAGAGCAATTGTTTGCTAGTTATTTCCTTATTCCGATGACATGGTTTGATTTCTGGAACCATAGAGGTGGGAGCTATTTTCTAAACTGTGCTGACTACATTTAGAAAGACAGAATAAATTTCTCATGTAAGTAAATACAACCCTGGGAAGCATCACTTGGCAAAACTCTGATAACCATCTCAGTGATTTAAAACAAACAAACAAACAAACAAACAAACAAACAACAACAAGAACCCCACCCAAGGGTTCCTGTGACAAAGTACTTAGAGGAAGCCAATGTTTATAAAGCAATCATGATCCCGGGGTTTTCAATTAAAAATACCAGAGAATTTTCTTAAGTTCCTCATATTCATTAACACTTGCACATTGTTTGCAAGCATGAAACAGGAGTAGCGGCAGTAGCAGAAACATTAATTCCATCGGTGTCCCCGGCTTAAGAAAACTGTACTAACGTGGGCCACGATCCCACAGGCTGTCACTGGAACCATGCTGTGCTGAGCCAGCCCCACCCTTCACTAGCCCAGTGTTAGCTGGCCCTGCCCTCAGGGGGAAGATTCACACCACCCCCCCTTGGGACGGATGGCTCACCACAGGCGTGCATCTCACCTGGGCGGTACACTGGAGCTGACCCTGCGGTCGGGAGCAGGTCTAAGGGTGTGAGAGCAGAGCACTGGCATGGGTGAGGGAGAGACGCCCTCCCTCCTCTGCCTCTTGCTACCTGTGGCAGGCAAGAAAGCTGGCCCCAGGGTCACCAGAGTAAGAGAACTGACCCTGCCCCACACCACCCAGGAGGGCGGGCCCTGCACCCCACATGGGCAGCACACTACAGCTGACTCTGCTGTTGGGGTCTCAGTCCTGGGTGAGCCGGTCCTGAGAGCATGAGAGCAACAGAGCCGACCCGGCCCCCCTCAGCGGCCTCCCACAGCAATCTGGAGACAGAGCCCTACACCTCACCTGGGCAGAGCAGCAGAGCTGGCCCTAGTGGTGTCAGAGTGTGTGACCCAGATCTGAGGGCCCGCTCCTTGCTGCAGGCTGCACTGTGTGAGCCAGCTGAGGCAGTGCTGGAGAGCTTGCACAGGGTAGTGACCATGAGGGACAACTGGCGGGCTGAGCAACCCAGCTACCACCCAGGCCCAGAACCAGGGCTACAAGTTAGCACAGTCCAAAATCCATCCTATCTATGAACCGTTGGAGCATGGGAAGGAGACGATCCTACAGATCCAAAAAGGAGGCATCCACAAGCCGGGACAACAGGAGACCCAAGAGGAGACCCAGTGAGAGCCTAGTATCATAGTGGCAGCAGCCAGAGGCCGAGAGCCGGACCAATGACTCCTGGCAATGACTACTTGAAGTAAAGATGAATGAATGGACTAAAGGGTCAACTGTGTGACTCACACTACATCTTCCAAGATGAGATTCTTCTCTTTTTTTCCCTTTTGTTTTGTTTGGCCTTTTTCTTTTAAATTTTGTTTTGTTTGGGGGGGATTGCAAGGGTAGAGGGCAGCTGCAAGGGGATGAGTGGGATCACAATACATCATGTGAAACCCACAGAGAATCAATACAAGTAAAAAGAATTAAAAAAACCAAAGAAAACAGTTTTTCTCTCTGGCACTGGCATCAGTCTCCCTGATTAACAATATCCTGAAGATTTCCTATACTAAAGGAAGTAGGAGACGCAAGAATGAAATCCCTTCTGGTGCGAGGTGTTCCTACAGGGTGTTTAGAAGGTGAAATGCCCAGGTTGCTGGGAAGCCCAGGGTCAGGAGATTGTGAACAGCTGTTTTTCTCAGACTTAAGACTGGAGTGCAAGAGTCCGGAACTATTCTGAGAAAGGTAAATCGAACCGAACGACAGGAGGAACTCCCACAGGCTGCCATCATGCAAATGAAGAGTTAACAGCAGCTACCGACCTGGTCACTTGTGTCTGGAGTTTCCTTTCTCCCTTGTCCAAATTAAATTATACAAAACAGGCAGCGACTGTGGGTAAATCAGGGTATTTAGTTTTGCTTTTGGCCTTGCTCTGTTTACTAAAGTTAGGCCTCAACTTCATTATTCGGACATTGCTCATTTCTTCAGCCAACCTTGTGAGAGATACAGCATTTCCATCAACAACCACAAGTCGGGTTCTGGACTAAGGGTTTCTGGCTAAGTATCTGATTTAACCTTCACAGTAAGCTCGTGGAGTCTTCTAATCCCCACCTCGAAGAGCAGCACATCAGGCCACATGCAGAGTGAGTGACTTTCCTAACGCTGTAAAACAGTGAAGGAGGGAACAGGATGTGAGATGGTAGCAGCACCCAGTCCTGACTCCTAATCAGACACACACATTTAGGGCCACTGGGCGCGGCTGCATCTAACAGGCTACCCTCTAGTGGTGGAACTGCTGTGTAACACTCGGTGCTGGATACAGATGTTCACGGAGCTCGAGGCTGCTTGACTGAGGAGACGCTGAGTAAGCAGCCACAGTATCATTCAATTCTCCATCTCCTTCTGTTCCCACTTCCTCCTCACTTCCAGATCTCAAGCGGTCAGAATCGTCACCCAGCCGTTTGTTTCACCTGGGTATAGCATCTACCAGTTTAATGGCCTCTCACGTCATAGCAATGGCGCAGAGTGGGGCTTTTTTGTTGTTTTTGTTTTTTTGTTTTTACGAGACAGGGTTTCTCTGTATTGTTTTGGAGGCTGTCGGTCCAGCCTCGAACTCACAGAGATCCGCCTGCCTCTGCCTCCTGAGTGCTGGGATTAAAGGCATGCGCCACCACCGCCCGGCCAGAGTGGGTTCTCGTGCTAGAAGTGTGCAAGCCACCATGGTCCCCCCCCCTTTGTGTGGGGGGTGACAAAGAAGCCTTCACAGAAGAGGTGGGCCAAGTCTTGAAGGACAACCAAGAATTCTCTGGAGAAACAAAGTCAGGCTAACTGCAAGCTTGTTGGATGGGGGAATAACCTGTCAAATGTTGAGAGACGGACAGGGACAGGGTACGCAGGTCATTCAGGTCATGTGGCCGAAGTATAGACAAGCTCAAGGCAGTGTAGGGTCACTGCAGAAACAGTGCACGTATAATGACAGATACTGGGGCAAGACTCAGAGCACGCAGAGTCCCCGCAGCAGGACGCTTCTCAACCACACACAGGGCAAAACAAACTGCGGTAAGTATTGTAAGTGTTCTACAGGGAGTGTACTGATTGCCACAGGAAACAGTAACGTCTGGATACATGTGTTGTGGGGGTATCAGCTGGACCTAAGCTATTCCTAATGGAATTCTCCTTAATCCTTCCAGTAGCCTTGCAGAACAATGAGCATTTGAGAGAAAGAGGACTCGTGCTACGTAGTTCACAAAGGCCAGCTCTAACAAAGAGGTACAGACTCTCCCAGGCTCAGGTCAGCTTCATCTGGATTGTGATGGAGACCAAGGCTGGTCTCTTTGACACTACTCAAGACCTAAATATTATAGCGTATGGATGGCCAAGTATTTAGTCTGTGTTGATAGCACTTGCTTAACGGAAAGTATATATATATATGTATATATATATATATACACACACATATATATACACATATATAAATTATGTGTACTTAATACACGGTGACTTTAGCAACTTCTTCAGTGTTTCACCGCTGTTCATTAGCTAGCTGTGAAAATGTAACATTCTATAACTTCAGCTTCATCTTTAGTCACTCTGTTTAGTAGATGCCTGACCTCTGGGTGATACTTATCTTCTTCATCCAGATAATAGGGATATTGACTGTATGTCTCACCCTCTTCACAGGTTCAAATGAGATAATGCATGGAAGGGACTTGTTGCTACATAAAAGTCACAGTTTATTGGTATTTCTGCAAACCATACCCAAACCATACCACTGATCAGTTGGTACAAAATGGAAAGGCCTGACCAGGGCCTGGGAGTGCAGGTCTGAAATGCAGGCTACTTGAGAGGCTTAGATAGGAAGGCCATAAGGTCAGACTGGTCTGGCTACATGGCTCAGGGCCAGCCTGGACAATT